ACACACACACACACACACACACACACACACCTCAACAGTAGAAAACTATCAGCATAAAATCTGAAGATACGGTCGCAAATGCTCAAGCGCGGGAGAAGAGGGATAACCTAAATACGCACCTTGGCTTCTGCATCTTCGACGGAGATGAAACTGATTTGACACCAGCCTGAGCATTCACAACCCGAGCAGCGCCGGGCATTCTGGTCTTACCAGGCGTTCCTTGCGCACGAGGTACATTCTTACTCTGCAAGATGTGTTGTGGCGCAGATGTCGACAAGCCAACAGGTCCATTATCCGGAGAGTTGTTCACTTTTAACGGGACTCGACAGGCACCTGTCCTCGCCGGCGCCTGATAAAGACAACATGTTGGGAAGCAACCGGAGAAAAACGTTAGCATGTGAAAACTAGTCCTTCCAACAAACTTCATGCCGCCATTTTCTTCCTTAATCTTTCAAATAGATTTTCCCATACACCGGCCCCTGGTTTGCTTTTCATTGGAGATTCGTATACACCAGTCCATGTTTTCCATGGTAATGTCGCTCCTTCCCACATTGAAATTCGAGATGTCTCAGGTTTTTCTCGCCCTGCCTAGCCGACCCCTCTTCCCACCCGAAGAACACAACAACAGCTCGCCGATCCTAAAATTCAGCCCACCAAAAAAATGCTGATCGACGATGTGACGGAGGCCCATCTACCTCCCTCACTCTCAATCAAAGGTTATCTTCACCTCTAGCGATGTGTAGCTGCCAAAAACGGGGAACTAAGTAAAAAAATAAAATAAAATAAAAAAAGGGGAAACTATGCGGCGGTCGCAAATAAAAAGTTTGAAATTGCACCTCGGGCCAAAAACGGATTCAAACTGCACTTCGGGCAATGTATATTGTAGTTGAGCTTTCCGGTCACTTACGGTTACCTGGGGGTGTGCACCGTTCGGGCGAATGCCTGAGGTGTAATTTCCAGACTGTTTTTGGGACCGTACTGACTTCATCCTCTGGCCATCACTTTCATTCCTCGCCGTTCTCATGGACTATAGTTGAGGATTGCAACGGCAAAAATGGATCCCCACTTTACGAAACAGAATCCGAAAGGTGACATGTCAAAGTCTCAATCAGAGATACAATTACAGGTGCAGAAGACGGATGACTAATCGTTCCCGAACAGAAGACGGATCAACCAACAGAGCAACCAATGGGACAAAAGACAGTAAGACAACCTTTCAGGCGCTACAGAAAAGTTTCAGAAGAGGGAAGGCAAGGCCTTGATTTCCCAAAGACGATGAAAGAAACAATGGGGCCAGGAGGCAGGTACAACAGGGACGAGGGTGGACATATATCACAAGAACGCGAGAAAAAAGGCGAGACGTAGGACCATTCGAGACTCAGGAGGACAGACACAACTACAGCAGGTCAAAGAGGAGGAACAGGCCGTAGGAAGCGCAAACTAGAGAGGACAGGCGAAGGACAGATTAGCGCGAATGATCGCTCCTCAAATCGCAGGAAGAGCTGAGGAGACGGAGTCAAAGCGCAAACATGAGAGAGAGGAGGAGAGCGAAGCGGGAGAAAACTGAAATCGAGGGTTGCAGAGATGAGAGCACAGCGAACGGTGATAGAGATACAATGAAAAGGAACAAGGGGCGAGCAATGAGCAGACATGGAAGGGAGGAAGACGCGGCAGAGTGCACGAGCAGGGAGGGAGGAGAACAGTGGAAGGGGTGCAGTGAAAGAGAAGAATGAGGAGAAAGACGAGGAAAGGGACAGGAGAAAGGGGGGAGTAGGAAGTGACGATTACAGGAGGTGGGCGAGGACAAGAAGCAGCACAGGAAATCGACAAGTAAGCACAAAGACGCAGGAGAGGAAGCCGACAGGAGTAGCGCAGGGTGCACCGCGCGACGTCGGACAGGGAAAGGCCACCGGAGTGGAAGTAGTACAGTGAAGGAGAGGACCAGAAGAACAGGGAGAAACGATTAAGGGAGATGAGCGAGGACCAGTAGTTCAGTGAAGGAGAGGACCAGAAGAACAGGAAGCCCGCTGTAGCTGAACTCTAGAAAAACTCCAGGGAACGACACAGGAGAGGGCCAAAGGAAAGGGTCAACCGAGTGGCAAGGGTAAAGCGAAAACAAAGAAAGAGCAAGAAACACTCAAGAAAAACAAAAACATGTAAGACAGGAAGGATAATCTGAGACAAAGAAGAGAACGACAAGGGGTACGAAACCCAGACGACGAAGGGATGAAGAGCATGAGAACAAAAGAGAAACGACTAGCTGAGTGCACGACGAGACAAACAGGAATGAATAGGATACAACGGCAGGCGAGTGACCGAGGTGACAAGTCGACCAGACAAGAAGCAGACAAAGGGATACATAAGGAGACGAGAAGCAAACGACAAAGAGACAAGAAGCACACGAGTAGGAGATGAGAAGGCAGTCAAGAAGAAGAGCAGAAGGGGAAGTGGTGACAAGGGCACGAAGACGTGACGGGAGGAACGGGGAGGACAGGAGAAGACCACGGAGAAGAAGAAGAGGAGAACAGGAAGGTAAGGGACAGAGTACGGAGAAGAAAACGAGAGAGGGGGGAGACAAAGAGGGAGGGAGGACCGGACGGAAATAACAGCGAGGGGAGGTGGACGAAGGAGGGGAGAGAGCGGAGGGGAGAGAGCGGAGGGGAGAGAGCGGAGGGGGGCGAGCAGAGGGGAGAGAGCGGAGGGGGGGAGCGGAGGGGGAAGAACAGGAGGGAACAAACAAAACGGACGGAGCAGAAGCGAAGTAGAAGAGCGAAAGTAAAACTTGAGGCAAGAAGTGGGCGTGAATAAGAATCAAACAATCAAATGGGAACGAGCAAACGAAACCCGAGAGGGGAACGAAGAAGAGAAGGGAACAAGAAGGGAACTGAGAGGAGAAAGGGAAGGCGACGAGGAAGAGAATGAGAACGGGATAATAAAGAATGGTAAGAGAACGAGACGACGACAAGGAGACAATAGGGCGAGGTAGAGGAGGCCGAGAGAACATGTGAAGAGAAAAGGGGCAGGAGAATGAAACGACTATAAGGAGACATTAGGGTTTAAAATTCGGAAAAAGTGAGGTGGCCAAGAGGAGATCGCGGGAAGGGACCACAAACTAGAAAACGTGGGACCGAAGGCAAGGAGATGAGATATGAACAGAAAAAGAGAAGGTCGACGAGGACAAAAGCTTTTGTCCCATAAAAAGAGGACAAAAGGTCGACGAGGACAAAACTAAGAGACGAGGGAGAGAAAGCAGAGAGGAATGGTAAATACCGTATTTGAGCATACGACAACATAGATTAAGAGGGCTATTGACAGATAAAGAGGATCCCGCAATGCAGTAGGAGAAATGCATGTAAAACTAGCAATACTGCTGAACAGTTCGCGTACCCTACCTTGTCGTCAGCTTTAAGAGACGCTTTTCCAGGCGTCGTAGGTTTCCTGAGAGTAGAACAGGGACGCATCTGCTGTTGATCGTGAACCCGCTCCTTGTTCTCCTTCCTCCTCGGCGAACCCACAGCCGTTGCCATTTCCGCTGAAGGGTTGGAAGCGGAATCCAGTCACTAAGAACCGAAACAGAAACTCTTCCAATCTGCAAATCTGCACTTATAAGCGATACTTCAACTCCTAAAAGTTGGAATGAAGAAATTATTGCTCACTATCCGAACAACGCCACTGAAGTCCTCTCAAGCGAAGGAGAGCATTTCGAAATGCCGAGCAGGTTTTAGCTTAATAAGTACCTCCTCTCTCTCTCTCTCTCTCTCTCTCTCTCTCTCTCTCTCTCTCTCTCTCTCTCTCTCTCTCTCTCTCTGTGTGTGTGTGTGTGTGTGTAAGTCTCTGTCTGACCCTTTAGGAATGGCGGACACTCCTGTACTCCAGGAAGGAGGGGGAAGGATTTGGAAACCCTACGGCGATGGCGCCAAAGACCACGAGCGAATTCTATCGTGGGATGTGCGTGAAGAAAAACGAGAGCTGGTCGAATATAAATGGCGCGACTGCGCAAATGCACTATAAGCATGGAAAAGATCACGGCGCGAGATACATGAGCGCAGCCCCGCCCATGCACAGAATATGCTGCGGCGAGACAGAACAAACAAAAGCAAGCTGGAAAGGGAGGGAAGCAGGCGGCGTAGGGCGCGAACCAGGGGAATCAGTGAAAGAGGAACCACGTCCACTGACGTCCTCTCCCTCAGGCTATGCTCCTTGTGTCTGCTTCTGCAGGCCGGAAAGAAGCGCTTGGAAGTGTTCGGGCGACACGATGTGATGCTAATAGGCAGCAGAGCAACTGACATCCATGCCAGAGATCTGAAAATTGAATATCGAACTCCCAACGGTCACGTATTCTCCCCCTTCTTTTTCACTGATGAGGCCTGCAGAAACGGGTACGCGCAACGGGTAGAATCCGGCAGGCGCGGAAGCGCGGGTTAGGACAGACGGATTCTCGGCCTGGATCAAGCCAGGGCGGAAGCAGGTAGCGAGGCCGGGGACCCAGGCTGGAGCCCGAGAAGGGGAGGTTCGGACTCGGAACTGCACGTCGCAGGGAGCGCGGGGGAGAGAGAGGCCAATGCCCACCGGGTGCAAGGGCCGACTTGCGCAAATTAGGATATTTCGGCCGTTGATCTTTGCTATCTACGGTCAGTATCTCTTAATTCGTTCGTGCAAGTGGGACCTAGCCCCGGTAGGTTCCGCTTGCGCATGTTCGCAGGCCTAACACTGCGGTATAGCTCGCAGCCCTATGGGCTGCGGTATGGCGCGGTCCGGCGTCTGTGTCAAGGTGCCCGAAGTTTCGCGGTGGGCAACCAGTGCAAAATTCGCAGCCCTAAGGGCTGCGGTACGGTGGGGTTCGGCCTCTGTGTCAAGGAGACCACCGCAGAAGAGGGCATATAGGGGTCCAAATTCGGGTAATGCTGGTCCTTCGAGCACTAGCAGAGCACCAGTACGTTTCCCAGCTATCAAGTCCGAACCTCCCGCTACCGATATCCCGAGCCTTGCCGAGCCTAGAGCTACCAGTACCGGGAATGCCTCCCTTTATGAAAAGGAAAAAAATAGTAAAAAGAAAAAAGAAAAAGAAAAAGAACAAGATTCGACTAAAAAAAAAACAAAAAAAAGAACAAAGAACTGAACTGGGAGGGAGGGAGGGAGGGAGGGAGGGAGGGGGGGGCAGGGCGGACAGAAAGAGAGAGGCATCCAAATGTACAAAATGAGGACGAATGTTCCCGCGTAAGCGCAGAAAATCAATACTCAATTTCCAAGTTCGAAAGTGAGCGGGCGCCGGGGGGGGGGGAGGCAGGAGAGAGAGAGAGAAAGAGCAGCAAACAAAAAGTTTGCTTCTCTCTCTCTCTCTCTCTCTCTCTCTCTCTCTCTCTCTCTCTCTCTCTCTCTCTCTCTCTCTCTCTCTCTCTCTCTCTCTCGTGTACAACATGGGAATGAATCTTCCCTTGAACGTGGGAAGATTTATTTCCATTTTGCAAATGAGAAAGGCGTGCACACACACACACACAAACAACTCTCTCTGTGTACATGTTTCTCATGCGAAAAATGGGAATGAACCTTTCCACGTTCAAGGGAAGATTCATTCTCATTTTTCACATGACAAACGAGTAGAGAGAAAGAGAGAGCGAGAAATAGCATGTTTGTTGCACCACTACCCAATGAACACGTTGTGAGTCTCTCTCTCTCTCTCTCTCTCTCTCTCTCTCTCTCTCTCTCTCTCTCTCTCTCTCTCTCTCTCTNTTTTTTTTTTTTTTTTTTTTTTCAAAAAATAAAAATAAAAAACTTAGACCATTTTCTCGATCTATGCGTATCATCCTTGCGCAGGCCATGCTAACCTTGATCCGTGCGGCTGTTTTCAGCCGTGCGATTTCACTGATCGCAGGGCCGAAAATAGCCGCATCGGAGGAGTTTCTCCCACGACCGCTCCAAAAGGAGCTAGCCCAGTGGGACGCATTCGGTTTGATCCCGGTATCTGCCGGGTGAGACTCGACTCTTGTAACCTACTAGGCTAGCTCCTATCATGACAGTGATAGGAACAACTTTTCTATATGAAGAGCTTACCCAGTCACTATCTCCCGTGGCGAGGCCTGGCTTGTGGACCCTCGCCCCCCCGGTTGCCCACGTGACCTCGGTTTGGTTGGCCGCCTAACCGGGTAGGCCTCAACATCGACCTGTGCCCCCCCCCCTTGGCTCGAGGTCAACCCTCGCGGCCCAAGAAATAAAAAAACTTGATATTCCTTCTGCGCCACAGCCCCACGTCGGGCGGGACCGTTCTTTTTAGCCTATCTATGCCCTGAATCGCGCGGCTTAACAACCGCATGACATTATTTTAGGTAGAATAGGCTTAATTTCAACGTTCATACGTCAGCGTCTTACTGCGGTCCTGCTGGAAACTGCCGAATACTATCATTACTCTCGGACACTGTAGGTATCCGGACTAAGTTTCTAAAAGTTTTAGTCCTTCGTCATAGGCCTAGTTTGAATAACTTTTGACAAATGTCAGTCTTATCAAGTCCTTTAACCATACGGAAAAGTCAGACAGCGTCCGACGTTGAAAAACCCCGGCAAATACCCTTGTATTTGCCCCGACAACGTATTCATGCATGGCTAGTCAATATCATAAAATTAGCGTCACTAAGACGTTTATTCAGAGTCTCGCGCACGATACCCGCTTGATCGATTGTCGAAAGTTGTGGGGCAAAAGTGAATAAGGAGCTGGGTGCGATTTACGTACGTTTTACTTTGTGAAGTGTATCGCGTGGTTAGATTGACCGTTATAGTCGGCCGGCATTGAGCCGAGCTCGGGAGATCAACTCAAGAGTGACGGTTGGCACACGGACCCGATTAAGGTGTTCGACCACTCGTACCCCTTGTGCTACGGTGAACAAGAAACGCCCTCGGCTGGGCCGCCTTTGTGATTGCATTCAGGCGACTTTCGTACGTCGTTCGGTAGCTTGGCGGAGATATGTCAATCAATGGGTTGGTGACAACTTTCATAGGTGAAGGTAAGTTGTGTCTCGCGAGACCTCTATCATGTCGTAGGGGTTCGTGAGAGGTGGCTGACGCACTCAGGCGAAGCAGCAAACACTCGTGCAAAAATAAAAGTCATGCAAAATCTTGCCTGACGAGGTCGGAAGTGTTCCACTTGCAGGACTGGTGTACTCGACGGGTGGCGTCGTTGCCAGAGATGTCGGTTGCCTACCAGGGTCCGTAGTGGATGAACCCAAGTTATTGGCAGACCGATGATCTACGCAAAACAACAATGTTTGAGTGTTTTTGTTGAATTGTAATGATGAAAGATGTATGTGAATTACTTGAGAATGAAAGTGTTTTAGTGATTCACCTATGCGTCACAATGTGTATGATAACACCTTTAGTCAACACTTCGCTGATTTTAGCATCATAGGTGTTAGGGCAATGCCTTGCATTTCTGATGTAGTTAAGGTTGAGTGAGGCGACATCAGTATTGCTATGCATGCCCGTTACCGAGATAAGTTTTTGTTACTTCCTTTTATAGCCTATCGGGGTTCCTAGTGGACGGATCTAGGTTAGAAGGTAGTTGGTGATTTAGGCAAATAACGTTTTTTATTTTGGTTGGAATGACGGGTTAGAGATTTGGTGAAAAATTTTACGATTGCATTATATCGAGTGGGAGTGGGAAGGTTAGTATTAATATCGCACGTTTACCATAACACCCACAGTAACAAATTTGGTTAGAAATTTAGGAATCCAGATACCATAGAGTATCTCAGACGTGACTATACGTATTTGATGATGTAGAGTAGTTGGAGATCAATTGATGTAGCTTTGCACGTTTGATTACTCGAGTAAGAATCTTTGGTACTTGAATATAACCGCTAAGCTCCCTGTAGCGGACCCACCAGGTGTGGTGCTCCGCTAGTGACAGAGATGGAGATGGAGGAAGAAGGAGGGAGCAAGGTGCACAGCGCAGCTCCTGTCTCTTATACACATCTAGATGTGTATAAGAGACAGCTCCTGTACATTGTGTTTTTTTTTTAATTTTTACATCTGTTTGTAATGCGTGTGCCTTGCCATGATCAACATCAGGCCCAACTATTGGTACCGCGTTTTAGGAATGGCTACCACAAATTTTATTTGAGATAATATTGGAGTTTGCATAGTACGTCGTGCAGAGGGGCGTCGACTATGCCTGCTCGTCAGTAAGACGTGCTCGCAGTTTCAGCGAAGGCATACGTAAACAGAATCGGTACAGGCAAAGGCCGAGTTTCTGCAGCTAAAAATGGTAAAAGTGTAGCATGGGGATAACGGGCGGTTGAAGGATAGGTTTATCCGCAGGGCGGCTTCGGCGTGGTTAGTATGTGCGTGGTGACCAGGAATAAACTCGGCCCCTACGCTGTGTATGCATGAGTACGGTCGATAGTGGTGCATCTTGGCATACTCAGCCATGGTGCAAACACCGCTTATGAAAACCTTTGTGTTTGACCTACTTGGACTAAGCCTTAACCCCATAGGTTACGACATTGGACTTTCACATTGGAGGTACACGGATCAAGACCAACAAACAGCAAAGGAGTGATCGAACCTCATCCAATAGGTCTGAAACATTTAGCCGCCACA